CAACGTTCCATTTTTTCCCCCAGGGAATGGCAGTAGGCAAGGGTCAGATGAATCAGTTCAGACAGGGAAAATCATCTCACTAACAAAGAGCCCTAACCAAATAACTCCTAACATTTTATGGTCCAGGGAACTGACAGAAGGGAGCAGGGGAAGTCTAGAACTAGAAAAGTACTGGGTCAGAGTGGATGAAAGTATCTTGGTCGTAAGATAAGGAGGCCTTGAATGGAGGTGTTTGAGTGAGGAATGGGTGGCTGCCCTAGGGGGCCTGAGTTCTTGACTGCAACTCCTTCCGGAAAACTGTAACCCACCGGCAGAGCACTAAATCTGCTGTGGGGAGGTGTATTAGTCTGTTTTCATGCTGCTGATAAAGACGTACCCGAGACTGGGTAATGTATAAGGAAAAACAGGTTTAATACACTCACAGTTCCATGTAGCTGGGGAGGCCTCACAATCATGGCAGAAGGTGAAAGGCGCATCTCACATGGTGGCAGACAAATGAGAGCTTGTGCAGGGAAGCTCCCCTTTATAAAACCATCAGATCTCATGAGACTTATTCACTATCATGAGAACAGTACAGGAAAGACCTGCCCCCATGACTCAGTTACCTCCCACTGGGTCCCTCCCACAACACACGGGAATTGAGGATGACATTTGGGTGGGGACACAATCAAACCACATCAAGAGGGCAGCTTTCTCCCAGTAGGCCTGCCAGGTAAAGCCTTTGTAATGCTTAAAGTCAGGCCTGGAAAGTCACACATAGATTTTGATTTGGCCTGGAGCCCATCTCTTCACTTCTTGTATGTGTCTGTTCTACAATCATTTAATTTTGCTTAGAGGACACTTTTTCTAATTTCCTTTAGTGAAGACCTGCTGGTAGTAAACTAGTTCACTTTTTTTTTTTTTTTTTTTTTGAGACAGAGTCTCACTCTGTTGCCCAGGCTGGAGTGCAGTGGCACAATCCTGGCTCACTGCAACCTCCGCCTCCCAGGTTCAAGTGATTCTCCTGCCTCAGCCCCCCAGTATCTGGGATTACAGGCATGCGCCACTATGCCTGGCTAATTTTTGTATTTTTTAAGTAGAGACAGGGTTTTGTCATGTTGGCCTGGCTGGTCTCGAATTCCTGACCTCCGGTGATCCAACCGCCTCACCCTCCAAAGTGCTGGGATTACAGGCATGAGCCACCATGCCTGGCCAACTCTTTCACTTTTTAGTCTGAAAAATATCCTTACTTTGTCCTTGTTTTCAAAAGATATTTTCCCTGAGCACAGAGTTGTTAGGTTGATAATTGTTCTCTCTCAGCATGTGGAAGATCTTATTCCATTGTCTTCTGGCTTGCATTATTGCTGTTAAGAAGTTAGCTAAAAGTCCAATTGTTGCTTTTTTTAAGATAGTCCATCTCTTCTCTCTTACTTCAAAGAGCTTCTTTTGTCTCTTCTGGTCTGTAGTTTCTCTAAAATATGTCTTTTTGTTTATTCTGTTTGGGATTCACTGGGTTTCTTAATTTTGTGTATCTCATTATTTCTGGAAAATTTTGATTTCTTATGTCTTCAGATAATTCTTTGTCCCATTTTCTTTTTTCTGAAACCCTGATTAAACACATTAGACAATATAACTCTATCTTTCATATTTCTTAACCTTTCATTTATATTTTACATTCTTTGTCGTTCTGTGCTAAATTCTCATAAATTCCATCACTATTGTCTTGCAGTTTATAAACTCTCTCATTAAATTAGTTAAATTTGTCCCCTAATTTTAAAATTTCACTTAGTATAATTTATATTCCCTAAAGTTCTATTTGGTTCTTTCTACAGTATGCTTGGTCATTTTTTTTTAATGGTACCATGCTCTCTATTCTACTTTCAAACTCTTCTTTGACTTCCTTGAAATAATGGACATAGCTTAAATACTTTTAACCTAAAAATTCCAATATCAGAGGACACTATGGGTTAATTCTTTATATTTTTGTTTGTTCTCGCTCAGAATGCTATGATTTTCCTCACTTTTGGTTGTGAGTTAATATTTTCTGTAACTTTATAAGTGGGAATTTCTTCACACCCTCTTCTTAGGTTTTACTCAATCATGGTAACTTTCCTTGCAGACCTGAGAGTTATTTTTGTTCACCACTGTATTGAGGTATAATATTTTGGGGTCTCATTTTTGTTGGAGTTCTATAGTATCCTTAATGTGGCAGAATCTGGAATTTGTCTACAATCTCCTGATCTCTGAATGGAATTTAAGTTTACCACGTTCTTTAAACTTTCTCAAAGAGAAAGCTTGTTCAATGTTCTGTGTATCTCCAAATGACCAACAAACTTATTAAAAAATGCTCAACATCACTAACCATCAAGGAAATGCAAATTGAAACCACAGTGAAATACCACCTTACTCCAGTCAGAATGGCCATTATTATTATTTTTGAGACAGGGTCTTGCTGTCACTGAGGCTGGAATGCGGTGGCGTGATCACAGGTCACTGCAACCTTGACCTCCTGGGCTCAAGAGATCCTCCCACCTCAGCTTCCCAAGTTGCTGGGACCACAGATGCATGCCACCATGCCAGCTAATTTATTCTTTATGTTTATTTTTTGTACAAAAAAAGATCTCACAATATTGTCCAGGCTGGTCTTGAACTCCTGAACTGAAGCAATCCTCCTGCCTTGCCTTCCGAAAGTTCTGGGATTATAGGCACGAGCTACCATGCCTGGCCCCAGAATGCCCATTATTATAAAGTCAAAAAACAACAGACATTGACTGGATGTGGTAAGAAGGGACTGCTTATACACTACTGTGGGAATGTAAATTAGTACAACCTCTATGGAAAACAGTATAGGGATTTCCCAAAGAACCGAAAGTATATCTACTATTTTATCCAACAACCCCATTACTGGGTATCTACCCCAAGGAAAATAAGTCATTATATCAAAAGACACTGGCATGCATATGTTTATTGCAGCACAATTCACAGTTGAATAGGTATAGAACCAACCTAACTGCCCATCAACTGATGAATGGATGATGAAAATGTGGTATATATACACCATGGAACACTGCTGAGTAAGCTACAAACAAGAATGAAATGTTTTTTGCAGCAACTTGGATGGCGCTGGAGGCCATTATTCTAAGTGAAGTAACTCAGGAATGGAAAACTGAATACTGTATATTCTCACTTATAAGTGGGAGCTAAGCTATGGATATACAAAGGTATACAGAGTGGTGTAATGGACATTGGAGACTCAGAAGCGGGGAGGGTAAGAGGGAGGTGAGGGATAAAAAACTACATATTGGATACAATGCACACTAGTTGGGTGAGGGGCGCACTAAAACCTCAGGCATTACGACTATACAATTCATCTGTGTAACAAAAACCATTTGTACCTCAAAAGCTATTGGAATTAAAATATATATATATATTTAAAGCTGAGCACAGTGGCTCATGCATGTAATCCCAGCACTTTGGGAGGCTGAAGCAGGCTGATCACTTGAGTCCAGGAGTTCAAGACCAGCCTGGGCAATGTGGCGAAACCCTGTCTCTACAAACAAACTAAACAAAACACACACACACAAATTAGCACCCTTTAGTTCAACTACTCAGGAGGCTGAAGTGGGAGGATCACCTGAGCCTAGGAGGTGGAGGTTGCAGTGAACCGAGATTGCACCACTGCACTCCAGCCTGGGCAACAGAATTAGATACTGTCTCAAACAAAACAAAACAAAAACAACACGCATGCACACACGCATATGTATATATATATTTTAAAGTTTCAAAACCCTTAAAAAGCAAAAAGTATTCTATGTATCTCTTGGTATATAGTCTTTTGATACTTAGTCTTTTGTCTAATATTCTTGTTAATCAGTTCATTCATATATTTAATAAGGTGTTTCTCAAATATTATCTAGCATTTTTAGTCATCTTCAGTGTAAGGGCCAGTTAGAGTACTGGTGTGCTACTTCATCAGAAACGAAAGATCCTACTCTGTCTTTCAGTCGTTTTATTATCATTAATACAACTGATGCTTTGTACTCTCCTTCTGAAAATCCAATTACACACATACTAGAACAACTTGATATTGTATCACAATTCTTGGTGATTCACTCTGGCTTTTTTTTTTTTTCTGGATGATTCACTCTGGCATTTTTTTTTTCTTTACTCTTCTCTTTTTGGATAATTTCTATTGGCATGTATTCAAGTCCACTGATGCTCTCTGCAGCCTTGTGCAGTTGGCTGATGAGTCTGACAAAAAAATTTTATATCTCTGACATTGCATTTTTTAACATATTTGACTCCATTTTATGATTTCCAACACTGCTGAAATTCCCCTTCTGTTCATGTGTGCAGTCTATTTTTCTTACTAGATCTTTAACATAATTATCATACTTAGGTTAAACTCCTCTGATCATTCAAACTTCTAGGTCATCTCTTAGTCTTGTTCTCTTAATTGCTTTATCTCTTGACAATAAGTTCATTTTTTCTTGTTTTTCTTTTTTTTGGTGTGTCTTGTAATTTTTTATTGAATATTGGATGTTGTGTGAGGAAAAATAGTAGAAATTGGCTCCAGAGAGGATGGGGATTACTGTGTTTGCTCTAGACGGCTCTGAAAATATTATTGAGCCTCTCTGAGCTTCAATCATGTCATCAGCAAATTGTGAATAAGCACCAACTTCATGGAAATGTTGTGTAAAATATACAAAACATAAATGCAAAATTGCATTGCTATTTATCTAGTGACGGATCCTAGTACTTATCTTTAATAAGGCAATTGAATTATATATTCTTGATTTTTTCCCCAAATGATAATATCCTTTTTTCCTGCAAATTAAAAAATTCCGAAGTTCATTTTTAAAATTCACATAATATGAAAATATACAAATTAGAAAGTCAAATGCCTCCATATATTCAATTAAGATCATACTAAAATTGAGTAATTCTTTTACTCCTTCAATAAATAATATAAACCATATTTTCATATTTAATGTTTATGTTCATAAATGAACACATAAAAATCAGAGATCTTCCAAAAATTTATTGTGTTTAGTTTTAAAGTGGAAACGATGTTTTTAAGAGGTGATATAAAGAAATGCCCTCGCTGTGATCCCTATCATATGTTGATTCTATGTGGTGGAAGGGAGGGGAGAATGATTCCTTTTTCTAGAATCAGAGAATTTGGAAAGTATCAAGAAAGATAATAACAGAAAACATGAAATAGAGTTGCGCTTTGAAGATGAATTAGATGAAATTGTTATGTGAAGAGGGGTTTTCCAAAGTTGCAGAGCCAGGATTCCTGGCCAGAAGCATGAAAATGTTTCTTTCTTGCTGTTTCTAGGACCTAGGCAGCATTTCTTCCATGTCTGCAACAACATAGGAAACAACAGCCCAAACAGCAGCAGCAACATTCATCTGCTTTGGATCCATGACAGTCATGGTGTCTCCGTGGGAGTGATGGAAGAAGAAATACTTGTATAAGTCATCAAGTAGACTGGCTCCTGCAGATAAAAGAGGAAGAATTCTTAGTGGAGTATTTTGACAGATACTGCTGAATACACACACCTCTCCCTCTTCACTTTTGCCTGCTCCTATTGTACACTCTGCAATAGCAAAATAATTACTTTTCCAGGCTCTCTTGCAGCAAGAAATGTCCATGTGTCACCATTCTGATGACTATAATGTGAGTACCCAGCTGTGGGTGAGTTCTAGAAAAATCTTTAACTTCGTTGACGAAGAGTTGGGAAAATACCCCTAACGCTGCATTAAAGGCAGATGAGAACTTTGGAGCTTCATGGGGCAAAAACCCCCTAAACTGAAAATGGCAGAGTGGAAGTAGCCTGCATTTAGAAAATATTGCTAACTCTCTCAAGAAGCTCTGCACCGCCTTCTTCTGGATTTCCAGTGATATAAGGGAAAATAAACTTTTATTTGTATAAGTAACTGAGACAAATGCCTCATATTTATAAAAAGACAGTATCTTCTTTGTACCTGCATGTTTGCAAATCATGTACCTTCCTGGATACAAAAGAAAGTCAATACCCCTTTGTTCAAGTTTTCCTTCTCAAATCATCCATTTACTACCTAGAGTCATAATGTCCCCAGCAACCTCCAAGGGCACCAGCAGGAGTCTCTGCCCCACTTCAAAGCTTCCTTCTCATTCAAGTGCGAAGCCTTTTGGTAGTTTCAGTCATGCATCATAGCCTCAGGGAAACTTCACTGTCTCTCATATATCCTTGAAAACCTACTAGGCTCATCTTACGGATTCTAGTTGCAGTTCTTTAGCCTCTAGCTAGCTTGATTGATTGGTTGGTTGACTGTTTTATTGTGAAATATACCAAACACACATAAGATTGTAGAGAACATAAATGTATATTATAAAGGGTGACAATAATAAGTATATATATATATATATGTCCATAATTCAATTCAAGAATGATATTACTAGTATCTTGGAAACCCATTTATGACACCCCTGCCCATTGCGGATCTTTTCCTCCCTCCAGAGGTACCCACTAGCCTGCCTTGCCTCTTAATCACTCCTTGCTTTTCTACAGTTTTACCACTTCATACTTTACCACATATATGTATTTGACTATATATAACAAATATACATGTACAGATAACACAGTTAATATTGCTTACTTTTGAACCATATCCTCCAGATATATTTCTTCAGCTTGCTTTTTCCATCCAAACATAGATAAGATTTATCTATGCTGTTGTGTATAGCTGTAGTATTTGCATGTTTTATTGCAGTACATTACCTCTTTGTATTTATTTTTTATCCATTTTACCAACAATAGTCATTTAGGTTGTTTCCAGTTTTCTGTTACGTGTTGCTACCAACACTCTCAAGGCTTTGAATGTAGGAGTGGTTTGCTGGGCTATAGAATATGTGTGTGTTCAATTTTACCATGCAATTCCAAAATGTTTTCCTTTTCAATTTACACTTACACTGTTAGTATATGAGTCATTCTCTTGCTTCACATAGTCTACAGCACTTGATATTGTCAAACTAATTTTTGTAAATTTGGTGAGTGTGAAATGTTAGCTCATTCTCAGTTTTAAAAGTGAGACTAATTGTGAGATTAAGTATGTTTTTAACTATGGATTTTTTGGTCATTTATGTGTGTTTTCTCTTTTGTGAAGTTCTTGTTCATGCATTTTGTCCATTTTTCAATGGATTTGTCTTTTTCTTATTGACTTGTAAGAGTTCTTGGCATAATTTAGACACTACTCTTCTGTTAGTAAGTTTGTATATATCATTTCCCAGTTTGTGGCTCATCTTTTTACCCTGTTTAGTGTGTGTTTTGATGAATAAGTGTTCTTACTTTCAACGTAGTTGGATTTATGAATCTTTTCCTGTAAGATTTGTACTGTTTATGTCTTAAGAAGTCCTTCCTTACCCTAATATTATAAAGATATTCTCTGATATTCCATTCTGAATTTTAAAAAGATTTTATTTTTGTTTTTAAGTTCTCACCCACCCAGAATAGGAAATGATTTTTGTGTTGGGTGTGAGGTAGGATTCTATTTTCAGTTTTCCGTTGTCTAGAAACATTTATTGATTAGTAGTACATCCTCTTTCCCCACTGATCTGTGGTACCGATTGTGCCATATTAAGTTTCCTTATATGTTTATTTTTGTGCTAATTGTTTCAATGATCTATTTGTCTATCTCTGCAACAATGCCACACTATCTTAATTGCTATTACTTTAGAATCCTTGATAGCCCTTAGGACAAATTCCCTCACTTTCTCTTCCTGCTTCTTCAGGAGTGTTTTGATTATTCAGAACCATTTGCTCTTTCAGATAAATTTTAGAACCATCTAAATATACTCCAAAAGTATTTTTGGATTTTGATCAGAATTGTGGTAATATCTATTTTAAACTGGGGGAAAACCTAACATCTTTTTTTTAGAATATTGTGTTCTTATCCATGAAAATGGTGTGTTGATATATGTTTCTATTTGTCTTCTGTAATGTCTTTAAAGTTTTATAACAGTTTTACATATCTTTTGTTAGTTTTCTTTCTTTGATGGCTTATATATTTTGTTGCTATTGTAAATTTTCATTTTGAAAAACCTACATTTTCTATTTGTGACTCTCCAGTTTTAGTATCAAGGATGTGTCTGATTCATAACATGGTTTTCGTTCTTTTTTATATACATTCTGGGATAGTTTGTGTAAGATTAGAATTATTTATTTCCTGGTTATTTCGTAGAACTTTTAACAAAGCCGTCAAAGTCTGATGTTTTCTTTATGATAACAATTTTAATGATTCAATTTCTTTCATGGTTATTGGGCTATTCAGGTTTTCTACTTATTCTTGAATTAACTATGGAAATTACATTTGTCTAGGAATTTGTGAGTTTTGCCCAAATGCTCAAAATAATTGGCATGAAGTTGTCAGTAATATCCTATTTTTAATTTTTGTTGATGTCTGCAGCACCTATAGTGATGCCCTCTTTTTCATTCTTGATGTTGATTATCAGTGTTTTCTCGTTTTTTTTTTTTTAATCTTGCTTGCAGTTTGTCAGTTTTATTAGTATTTTGAAGAAAAAGAAAAGATGATGACTTTCATTTTTTGGATACTTTCTATTATTTAGTAGTTATTCTTCCATTGATTCCTGCTCCTAAGTTTATATTATGCTTATATTATTTTACTTCTCCTTTCTTTGAATTTACTTGCTTTTTTTTCCTAATTTTTGGAGTTAAACACTCAGTTTATTACTCTGCAGACGTACTTTGTCTCTAGTATCTGCAGTAAGGCTATAATCTTCCCTCGATACTGCTTTAGTTGTATCTCACCAGTTCCCATTAGTAGTTTCATGACAATTCAGTTCTAAATATTTATTAATTTGTAGTTTGACTTTTTTCCTTGACTCATGAATTAGAATGCATTTTTTTAATTTTCAAAAGTATGAAGTTTTCTAAGTTATTTTTTCATTATTGATTTCTAATTTAACTGTTAGAGGACATTGACTATATGATACAGATTCTTTGAATTTTGTTGATGTTTGCTCTATAGCCTATTATATGATACATTTTTGTAAATGTTCCATATGTATTTGAAGAGAATGTGCTTTCAGTGCTCATGTAAGTCCATTAGATCAAGCTTCTTAATTGTGTTCTTCAAACCTTTTAACTCCTTACTGATTTATTGTGTATTCGACCCATCAGTTTTGAGAGAGATGTGTGAAAATGTCCCTTTGTGATTTTGAATATATTGTAGTTCCAGTAATTTTAAAAATATATTTCAAAGTTATGTTGTTAGGGGTATACAAATTTAAAATTAGGTATCCCTGGAAAATTGAAAATTCATCTGTAGCATTGCTTTTTGTTCTGGAAGTCTAGTTTTTCCTAATATTTAAGATAGACACACCTGCTTCTTTTTGCAGAGTATTACCCTGGTATGTCCTTTCCTATCGTTTCACTGGCAGCCTTTCTCTGTCTCATACTTTTAGGAGTTTCTCTTATGAATAGTTTAGAGTTGAATTTGTTTTTGCTTCTATCTGTTTATTGTATTTTCTAGGTTTCTTTTTTCTTTCTTTCTTTCTTGCCTTCGTTTGGGTTGATTTTTTTTCCCTCCTCTCATTCATTTTCTCCCCAACTCTATAGTTTGGAAGTTACATGCTTTATTTCAATTCTGGCAGTGGGGACCTTGGAAATTATAGGTTACATATTCATCTTAATAAGTCTAAAGTTAATCAATATCTTATAAAGCACATTAGTGGCCCCAAGTTTTGTACTTGTCCTAGAGGCACTCACTGCTCAGTAAAACCCAATGCTCTAGGCAAACAGGGATTAGCAGACAAATGCCAGGGCCCAGGGTTTTCCTACTTCTATAGATTTTCGTTATTTCTATTATTTCTCACCTCTGAGGAATTCGCTTATTTTGCCTCCTGCTAAGTCATGTATTATAAAAAGACAATTATTATTATATCCAATGACTATATTAGGGAAGGGGACGGATGTTTCTGTTTCTGGTAACCACATTGCTAGGATTTCCCTCTTTGAATCCCCTACTTCCTGTCTTGTGGACTGGACATTGCTATTGTTCTTGAGCCATCCATTGCCCCAGGATGCCATCTAGGTTTTCTCCAAGCCCAACCCAAGTTCTTACAACTTCGTACCAGAGTTTTCCCCTATCTACTCCCATAAACCCCTTGTTCTGGGGTGGAATACTTAGGATGTCAACACACAGATATAGGCACAGGTTTCCAGATGAACAGAACATGCGAGCGTTCCAGTTTGGTTGATATTGGGGGGTAACTTGGGCTTATTATTGGCAGATAAAGTTGGCAACCACTTGTGAAGGTCCTAAATGTAAGGCTGAAAATAGACTGAATGTAGTTCACAAATGTGGAGCCATGGTGGCCGGGAGATGAATAGGAAGGTGGGGTGACTAGAGCTGCACCTTAGGGAGATGCTCCAAAAAACGTGAAGGAGAAATTGTGTGAACAACCACGAAGGTGAGTATACAGCTGGAGAAGAGG